TATTCACCCCCCAAGGGTGTCATGGCAACTACAATTGAAAAGAATAAACATTTATCATAACTACGTCTAGCACAATAAAATAATTAAAAATAAAACAAAATAACCCGTATAAACTTAAAAAAGGAATATTCTTTACCTCCCCAAATAATCCGCCCTTCAAGCGTAATATATCGGGTTCTTCAAAAAGAATTAAAAGAGATCTTTCACAAAATAACATATTAAATGCAATAGTTGTAACGAGACTGACAAAAATAAATTTAGTTCGATGAAGGGAAAAGGATTCAAAAGTTGTTAAGGATAGGAATTTTTAACTTTTACACAGATTCTACTAGAATTGTTCTTCGGTTATATAAAAAATTATATATCGTTATCCCACCAAATATATATATATATATATATATATATATATATATATATATATATATATATATATATATATGTGTGTGTGTGTGTGTGTGTGTGTGTTTGTTACCCTCTCATTTTAAATTTGATTTTCTTTTGACAGCTGGACGCATTTATATGTGTAAATGTCTGTTTATTTAAACAGTATTAAACACTTTTTCAAGAGGTAATCATCAGTCTCTCTCCTCCTTATTAAAAGTGATATACGTTGTCCTAGCCTAAAGCGAAATATAGCATTTGCGAAAAACTCTAATTCCAATCTATAAAAAGCGTGTCAAATTCAAACTCTCTCTCTCTCACACAAATACACAAACACAAAGTACAGACCACTTTAATGTTCACATATGGAATAAATATCGATACACACACACTTTACAACACACACACACATATATATATATATATATATATATATATATATATATATATATATATTAAATAAAAACAGATTTTTTAATGTTCCATGTAATAAATTATTTTCACAGCCCTTTTAAAAGGACTGTGGATTTCAGATTTTCTCTCCAAATATATAATATATATATATATTATATATATCTATATATATATATGTTTATATATTCAATTAATTTATTTTTGTGTGTGTGTGTGTTTGCAGATATATCTGCAGTTTGTCTATATAATGATTGTGTGTGTGTGTGTTGTGTTTTACAGATTATTTTAGCCTTATTAACTGTCTGAAGTGTCCAGCTATTTTTAACCTTGTGCCGAAACGTCCTCTCAGTATAATTATCTGCGTATATGTTTGCGCGTCTGAGCTTATGTTTCAACTTTCTTGAATCTTTTAACGTTCCACCGTACATAACCTTGCGCAGTAGCATTTGTGAAAAGCTCGCGCCTAGATAACTGAACATATTTTTAGTAATGAACATGGAACGAGCTAAGAGGGGTAAGAACAGTTATCCTGTTTAATTTGGCCTAAAGACCACCAGCAGTTACATCGAACTCCGGATAATTGTCTAAAACCTTCCGGACTAATATCTTTTGGGTGCGCTCTTACAGACGCCTACTATGTCCAGCATGTGGCCAGCTCAAGGGATCATTTGTCCCGGATATTCGACTTAAACCAGCTCAGCAGGTACCTGTCTGCTGTTACAGACACAAACCAAGCAGGGTAGGTGAGCGTATGATAAATTCCATGGCCATCTGGGCTTTAACAAGCTCAACGAAATAACCGACTCAGGAATCAAATCTGTAAAGGACATTTCTTGCCTAATTAGAGGAAAATTTATGCGATCCTTATTTCACAGATTTAATTAAGTGAAAATTGTTAAATTACGATAATTTTTTTTTACTTGTTTTTAGTGCTTTTATTTTAAAAATATGATTATACAATTTAAAATATGTATTGATTTCTACCGTGCCACATAAAATATTCACTTGTACATAGAAAGGAAACTGCAAGAAATCTTAAGAAAGGTAACGAAGGAAGCTGAGAAGGCCTAAACATCAATTGCAAGAAGATGGAATGCATGGTTGCTAGCTAAAGGAACAGCCCAACATGCTAATTACAATTTAAATATAATTAAAATATTTTAAGAGTCAGAACGTGCGACACTGAAACAAGAAAGTGCGTTGGGATAGCGAAAGATGCCTTCCAAAACTAAGCAAAGTATTAAGAAACAGAAAAAAATCATTAGAAACAAAATAAAAAAAGTGCTGAACTGTTATTTAATATCAATTCTCCTATCTGTGAATGCTGGGCTGTCTCTATAGTGATGAAGAACCAACTTGAGGTGATAGAAATATGGTTCTACAGAAGGATACTGAGAATACCATGGACCGAATATGTGAGCAACAGCGAAAAAATTCAAACAAAAATGGATACTTATACTTAACATCAGGAAGAGGCAACTGAAATTTCTAAGGTACATAATGAGGAAAGAAGGCTTGTAAAATTTGATACTCACAGGACAGATTGAATGCAAGAGGGACAGAAGAAAACAATGCATAACCTACACACAGGGCTTGAGTATATGAATGGCGGAACAAAGTTCATGAGAATTAACAAATAGGCCAAATTTATTAAGAGCTACAAAGGACAGGAAGTTATCAAAAAGTTTGATCACCAACGTCCTTAAGAGACATGGAATACAGAGGATGAAAAATCTGTGCATGCGCGTAAAGAGGATACGATTTTTTATGTCAAGGATTATAATAACGACTTAAAATGGGAGGAATAATCGAATGATATTACACGCGCAAAGCTCAAGTAATTTTCCCATCACCGTAAGGTTGCCTTCCTTTGCCTTTTCTATAAATACTTTCATGGTAATTGTTAGGATAAGCTCTTTGTTATGGCACCGAAACACTTTGAATTTAAGCGCTGTACTAGACTGGCAACAAGTTCTTATCAATTTACAGTTGAGCTGGTTAGATGTCGTCATAAGTTCTATGCTAACAGTTGTTTTCTCGTATTTATCGCCTGTGGAACTTCCTCCGGCGCCATGCTTTCCAGCCAACTGAAAAAAATTTAAATGCAATGTCAATCGCCATCTACTTTCTTTCTGATTATTCTTCTATTGATCTCGCCTCTTACAAATATTTCTGTTTCTAACTCTTCCACGCCCAGTAACAACTTCTGTCTTAGTGGCTTTACAACCTTTCATGGGTTAAACTCGACTTTAAAAACGCCAGAAGTTATCCGCGATCTTGTTTAAAAATATATCAATTTTTATCTTACCAATTTATATACTGATTCGGATAGACATTTTTTCTATTATCGCATAATAGATTATATCATAATTGATTCTCTTTCCGCAAAATCTAACTTATTTTCATTTCAGCTAGACACAACGAAAGCCAAACAGTAGAAAATATAAACACATTATCTGAAGAACTGATGGGCACATCGGGGTGTTATTTATCATTTATATTACTGGTAAGAACATCGATGAACAATTTAATAGACAACGATTCTTCTGTTTTAATATGTATTTCTTTTTACAAATATCTATGCTTAATAGTTGTAATAATTGGAGATGACATAACGCATTATGAAAGGTATTCCAAATCTCCTGGACAAGGCAACCTTGCTACTGTATAAACGTCTGGACGAAATGATACACACCGTTAAATATATATCATTCACAGCCTTATAAGGTGGGCTGTGATAACGTCATCGCCCTCATATTCTGCTGGACTGGAGAACTAAATGAAAGAGTAGATTTTTCTTGGCCTTAGCTGGTAAAAATTACTATTGACCTGGGCTGTGCCATTTGTCTAAAATGATTACGGCCAGTAATTTTCGAACTAAATAAAACTTTTTTTTTTGTTGTTAGAACATTAGCATCTAAAACTTCTTTGTTACTTTTATATGTGGAAAAAAGCCTGCAGGTCTCAGTCCAGAAATTAAGTACAAACGAAGAACGAAAAAATTGTATTTAAAAGCTAAAGGAAAAAAACATGGTTAAAGTAGTATCATCCCTGGGCCATGTAGTTTCAGGACGCCGGCGATGATGGCTCTCATCTACTTCCACCTCTTATTAAAGTTTGTCTTTTTGCTAGATCTCCTAACCCTTATTCTGCCAGCTATCTACACAGGTAGGTAGGATATCCCCTGTTTTCCTCTGCCCTCTTGCTTTCAATCTATTATTTGTGCGTCAAATTTTCCAAGTACTTTTCCTCATTATATGCTCCATAAATTTAGACTGTTATAAGTATCGTTTTAATTTCCATTTTCTCTAAAACTTTGTCGTTGCTCGCATGTTCGGTCATTGTATTCTCAGCATCATTCTGTAGAACTACATTTCTATCACTTCAAGCCTCTTCTTCATCACTGAAGAGATTGTCCAGAATTCACGGCCATATAGGAGGACTGATATTGCATAACTGTTCAGTTCTATTTTCTTTGTTTCCAATGAAAATTTCTTTTTTTTTATTATTTAAAAAATAATTTTATGATGCGATCAGAAATTTTGAATCGGGAATCGTCGAAACAATATCTAACTCGGAGCCTTGATTTTTTTTTTTACTTTTGTGTTATCGTACGTGTAGACTGTGATAGATAAGCACACAAAGACTGAGATTGCGTATGGAAATTCAGGGTGTGGTTGTTAAACAGATCTTGACCCAAGCCATTATCCAAAATCTGACCAAAAATCAAAATATCTTTTAGGATACCGACATTCGGACCAAGGATTTTTCAGCAACTCCTCATACAGACTGAGATCGCTACAACAGGGATAGACAAAAAGATGGATTTATAATAGAGAAGGTGGGATTCTAGAGAGAAAAATAATGTAGATACGATCCTTACAGAAGCAGACATATAAAGGCTCAAAATGGAAATTGAAAATTATCGTTTTCTATAGCGTTGCTTGCAGTCAGCGTTCTTTGTATTTTCTTAACAAGAAATGAGTTTCTATAATGAAATGAAAGCAAGAATATTGGCCCAAAATTTAATCATCTACCAATTACCCTGTCTTGGATGCATTAAAACTTCTTGCAGAAGCTATCACTTTCATTTTAATTATTTTGCACTCGGCTGATCAATCCAATTGAAAGAAATGATTGAAAATACGATGCAATAGCATCGCCGATTCTTCAATTATAAGCATTCTATTCTGTTTATAATTCCAATGAGAAGTACGAAATATCTTCTATGGAAAAGAAAATAAGTATATTGCTTCTGTAAGTAAATTAGTATAATTTGTGATTCGTCTGTGTTCTGTGTTATTCTTTTTTTTAAGTTAATATTTCTTTTTCTTTGCCGCATCACAATTCTCTTCGTATTGTACGAGCAAACATTGTGCTATCATTTAAACAGATATTTAAAAAAGTATCTAAGAAAAATTATTTCCCTCACTTTCTCTCTCCCTCTCTCTCTCTTTCTCTTTCTATCTTTTTATCTCTTATTCTCCCTATCTCACCCACGCTTTTTCTCTCCCTATCTCTCCTTCTATCTCCTTCTTTCCTTCTATCTTTCTTTATTTCTCTCTCTTTCCCCTTCTTTCTTTCTTTCTTTCTTTCTTTCTTTCTTTCTCTCGCTCGTTCTCTTTCTTTTGTCGCTCACTCTTTCTCTCTCTTTCTTTCTCTTTCACTATCTATCTATCTTTCTCTCTCTTTCTTTTTCTATCTTTATTTCTTGATCTATATATATATTTCTTTCTCGTTCTCTCTGTTTCTTTCTCTCTCTCTCTCTTCTTTTCTCTTTCTAGTTCTATTTCTCTCTCTCTCTTTTTATTACTCTCTTTCTTTCTCTCTTTCTCTCTCTTTCTTTCTTTCTCTCTCTTTTTCTTTCTCTCTCTCGCTCCGCACTTTAACAATGTGCAATTCTATTTTTCACTGTCAAAAAAATATAAGCAGTGTAACTGTAGCATCAAAATCAAGGTAATTAATGTCACAATTTCTACAGGCGCTTATAATTCCGAGTTGTAAGGACGACAACTAAATACAATGTCGTTCTTGCTTACCACAGTGTTCGGAATAACAGCAAAATGACAGTCCATAGTGTAAGGTTCACATCGGGGACGGAAAATGCGGAAATCGAACAATCTGGAAAATGTGACACGGCACTTTAAACTCAGGTAGGAATGGTAAAAGTCATTAATAAATTTAATAAGGTAGAAGAGAATGAAAAAAATGAGATGAATAATGAAAATTATTGACCTTCTATTTAATAGCTCCCGTCTTGGATCATCATGAAAGCTTGAAAATGTCGTACCAAATGAAAGAAAATATTGATATAAGAGATGTGCTTCTCTAGATGAATACTGAAAATTCCATCGACAAATCAAGCGACAAATAAGGAAAGTCTAAAGAGTACACTAACTGCAAAGAAAATATTCCTAAAATCCAAAAGAGACAGCTGAAGCTTTGGAAAAACAATGAAGAATGAAGTCTTATAGAATTTAGTTCTTGGAAAGTACGCGAAAGGCAACAGAAAGAGAAGAAGGTAGTGAGTGACATATTTAAGAGGTTGGGGCAAATACTTTATTTAATCACTTCATTCCAAGCAAAGCGATAATGTCACTAAGACTCTGGGGGTTACAGGGTGTGAAATAAAACGAGAAGGTTCTGGTGAGGAGATCTGAGGAAATAACACAATAAAGAAACAGAATTCATGAAGGCAGAAGAGGGCGATTGACGTTGCATTTAAATTTTTGAAGATTGTAGTTGACAGGGAAGAAAGAAATCAGAAAGGAGCTCCACAGGCATGATGTGCCAGAAAAGAATCCATTAGAATAGAATTGACAGTTGTATCGAGATAGTTCAGCAGTAAAACGATGAGAGCTAGCGGTCAGTATAGTTGCACGCAATTATGGCACTAAGGATAATAGTTTATCATAATAATTTCAATAAAAATATTTGTATAAAATACAGAGAAATCACATCACGTCAGTGGGAAATTGACTGAAGTCGGAATACGTTTCCATTCAGGAAATATTCGACATCCATTGAACGATAAGTTAGTATTACTATCAGATGAAATTTATCAAATGTTTTTTCAGCAAAATTAGACTTCTCAAATCTACTGTTATCACTCTTTCTAGTACTGATGGAACGTTTCTTCCTCCTCTTTTATTTAATGTAGTCTGGAACACGTCGGATAAAGAGAAAGCAAGCAACTGATTTCAGTAAGTTTTGTGTAGTAAAGGTAAATTGCGGCCCGTGCGCAACAAGCGGGCCTTTTGAGCTTCTGAATGACACGCCTAAGTCAATGAGGGAAATGACGTTTATTAAAGTTTTATGTTTTGTTTCATTCTCACTAATTCACTCAGATTATCTCTTACTATCAGTAGAGCCCGGCGTTGCCCGGGGATGTAATAGTAATAGATAGATCAAGTATCGACCATCATAAAGATTGAAAAATAAAATTGACAAAGATTATTGTTTAAGGTTGACGGACACGCATGTCTTAACTGTTTTTTGTTTTGTTTTGTTTTGACTTTTTGGGGGTTTTTTACGAATTGGTCAAACCCAAACCCAAACTCAAACAAAAACATTGTTTTCAATCGTTATGAGTCTATCGATTGAATAGAATTTTATTATAAACAATTGTCTTGCAAATGGAATTTTTAAAGCATTCTGAATGTAAAATAAAGAAAAAGTGTGCAAGACAATAAGAAACACTACCTGCCAAAAAGAAGTGAAATTTTGTTGAAATCGGTTGAAAAATGTAGGAAATCCGATCCCATATATAAAGGAACACACACACACAAACAACCTGGGTTTTATAAGTATAACTCGATATGAGTTGTCCCCCTTTCATTCTGGCGACAGAATTGTGTTTTATCGTGTTTTCAAACTGATTTCATGCAAAAACAATTGTGTTTTTCCAATTTTTGGCGCTGTCAGAACTACCGCAAGGTAATTTTGCGTAGTCCTGTGAAGTTTTGTTGAAATCGGTTGAAAAATGTAGGAAATCCGATCCAATATATAAACGTAGAGACACACACACACACACACACAATCTGCATTTTATAATAAGTAAGATGTAGACAGATTAAGAGAAGCTGGTGACAAAGGGAAATAACTGGTGTCAAAGGAAAATGTCTGCGTAATAACCCTTACTTATTAATACTTGTTGCGTTATGGGAAAAGTTCGACTAAACCTCATACATAACAATGACTAAGTACGTTTCTTGAATTTTGTAACCTTTCATTGAAGTTAACGTTCTCAAAAAGCATTTTAAACCATTGGCGATTTTCATTAAAGAAAATCATACAAGTAAAAATATTTTGCTTTAGAAACGAGAAACGTTCATATTATTTTCTTCGCTCGGCTAAAGAATGTTTTTTCTTTCAAATGAATAAATAAGAAACAAATCACAAAATCATCAGTGATAATATTAAACAAAACCTTCAGTTTTTAAATTGGAGAAACAATCTTTTCTTCAAATAAAAAATATCAATTTTCCCCATTTGTAATGGAGATTTTTACTCGTATGATCTTCTGTACCAAAAATGGCCGTTTTACTTTCAACGAAAAATTATTTTGAATTTTTTATTAGTGACACCTGCTTTATGATGAGTCATATCTAGTGCGACCCACAGGTCAGAAAAGGTTTCCCACGCCTACTTTATTGTCCTGGTTTTCTTTGCTTGAATCGAAAGGAAAAATAAAATGAATAATTCAGAAATACTTATTTTATTTGACTACTTAAAGTTGACCAGCATTTCCAATTGATTACTCGATCTTTAACAACAGAGTATAAATAAATCTTATTATCAAGCGTCGGAAAAGATTAATTTTTCACAGTATTAGTTCTAACCCTGCATCCGTTATCTTAGGTTTATTGAAATCGTAAAGTCGTTTTATGTTCTAAACTACTTAATAATCAGTACAAAGTGGAACGAAATCAAGAAAGTTATCGAAGTGATTCGAACTCGCTTCTCTTATCCTTTCAAAAGAGTCTGATATACGCGTTACTTTACCGATTTGGTCACGAAGAAAAATCAACAAAGCTTAAATATAGTCATAAAGCTACGTTAATTCTTATCCGATCGTCTTCATGTCATATTGTTTGAAATGAAGCATAAATTAGCTGGAATAGAAGAAAAATATTTCCATTATTAATTTTGACGGGGTTATTTTTCTTAGATAAAAAATAACAACACTAAAACGGAAGTTTAACAAATCTCATAATATTTAATTTATTTAGAATTTTACAATTTTATTAAATTTAATATTAGAATATTTGCAGATTCCAAATTGAATCAAAGGAGTTTATGAATAAAAACATCATTATAAACAGACAATTCATGGAATTAGATATTTATAGCTATAACAATATATTTAACTTGCACATAAAATCTCAATTTATTTAATGATTTTATAATAGCAGATTCAACTCTTTGAATATATGTCTCGGGATATATCCCATGATGATATTTAGTATTCTTGGCGTGTCACAAGTATACAAGTTTTAAACTCCCATTAGGAATCAAATTCACGACATTAATAGTCTACGTTGTTAATGTACGAGGGCACATTCGAGTGATTTACTAAACTTAAACTGACATGAAGAAAACAATAGTTAAATAACAAGAGCGAATCAAACTCCCGATCCGGGTGATTTATTATGTGTGAGTAAAGGGAACACTTATGGACTTATACGATAATATATATATATATATATATATATATATATATATATATATATATATATATATATATATATAATAATAATATATAAATATATTATATAATAATGGACTCTCCCGTCGGTTTCGACGTATGAGGATCTGACAGCTTATTGATTCAGTTATGAAAGTTCGTGCGATAAACTTAAGTGGCATTTAAGACCCACTAGTCATTTACAAAGGAGGTCACATATGGAGCAAATGTGAAGATAGTGAAATGAGATCGCTGTTAGATTGGCTGACCTTTTAGATCTTTCTCTCGCTTCTTGAAGATGATTCAAACAAGCAGATTGAAAATTGCTGAGTGCACTAAAACACGTTGATCTCCATTCTACCCGCTCCAAAGCTAAGCACTCAAGGGTGTTATGTGGTATATTGACTGCTGACAAGTTGCTTTTCAGCTTTTCTTTATATCTTAGCCATGGGCGTCCTACATTCCTGTAGCCCTGATCTAACTGGCTGTACATTAGAATCTTGGGTATCCTGTCATCAGACATTCTCAAGACATGACCAGTCCACCGTAACTGAGACTGTATGATAAAAGTCTCGATTCCTCCAATATTACACCTGTTAAAGAGGCCTACGTTAGATATCCTATCTTGAAGCTTAACTCCACAGATTGCACGCAGACAACTTTTATGGAAAACATCTAGCTGGTGTATATGGTACGTGTATGGAGTCCACGACACTGAGCCATACAAAAGGATGGCAAGTACAACAGCTCTGTAAAACCGAATTTTCGTATCCAGTCGAATACCCCGCTCATTCCACAAGCGATGGCGAAGTTTGCCGAAAGCACTGGTAGCCTTAGCAATCCGATGCATGATTTCATCATCTAAAATTCCACTTAATTGACTTTGCTACCAAGATAGGTAAAAGACTTTACATAGTTCAGGGTTTGTTTCAACTTTCAATGGTCTCTCTGGAAATTTGTAGACTAAACTTTTTGTTTCTCACCACGCAATATATATATATATATATATATATATATATATATATATATATATATATATATATATATGTTTATTTATAATAAATTTAATAGTTTCATTATAGGTATTTATATGATTATTTGAATGTGATGGGTATTTTTTTTTAGGTTTTTGCAATACCCTTCAAAACATATCCTATAACCAAAAAAAACAGATTCCTTTTTCTTAAAACTTGTTTATATTGATGTTGATTACTATTGAAATGATTGCCCGTTCTTCCAGGCCTTCTTATAGACTGGCTGAAACTCACGGATAT